TCTGCAGAGTGTGTCCCCAGCTCCACCCACAGCCATCACAATCCATTGGTTCTGCAGAGTGTGTCCCCAGCTCCACCCACAGCCATCACAATCCATTGGTTCTGCAGAGTGTGTCCCCAGCTCCACCCACAGCCATCACAATCCATTGGTTCTGCAGAGTGTGCCCCCAGCTCCACCCACAGCCATCACAATCCATTGGTTCTGCAGAGTGTGCCCCCAGCTCCACCCACAGCCATCACAATCCACTGGTTCTGCAGAGTGTGCCCCCAGCTCCACCCACAGCCATCACAATCCACTGGTTCTGCAGAGTGTGTCCCCAGCTCCATCCACAGCCATCACAATCCACTGGTTCTGCAGAGTGTGCCCCCAGCTCCACCCACAGCCATCACAATCCACTGGTTCTGCAGAGTGTGTCCCCAGCTCCATCCACAGCCATCACAATCCACTGGTTCTGCAGAGTGTGCCCCCAGCTCCACCCACAGCCATCACAATCCACTGGTTCTGCAGAGTGTGTCCCCAGCTCCACCCACAGCCATCACAATCCACTGGTTCTGCAGAGTGTGTCCCCAGCTCCACCCACGGCCACCAACACTGGTTCCTACTGTGTTTACACTTCTAAATCCATGCATGAAGCAGGCCTGCTGTTTCTTTGTGTCATGGTGAAGCATGGTGAATCAATGACAGATTAGCTTCATTGAAATAAATCCAGAGATTTCTTTCCTTTCTTCATAATTTCTAGTGTTTAAAAAAGCAAAACAAAGGCCCCACTCAAATGCTACAGTGAGCACCAGCAGGACTGACTTCTGAGAAGGAGGTACCGTGTGATTCTCTGGGTGGCGATGTTAAAGCCCCCTCCAATCTTCTCTCTGATAACCAACATTTCTGAGTTTTAAAGCTGCTTTGGGGGCATCTTTGATAATTTATGTTTTTCTGAGAACCTTTGTTTGGTCCAGATTTTGAAATCCACAGACAAGGAAAGTGTGGGGTCATGTGACATTACTGTTCCAGCGGCCATCCCTTCACAGTTACGTTTGCATTTGTTCCTTCATTTCTCATTAGGGAAGTTAATCCTAGGAAATCAGATCTCAGATGGATTATTATTTATCCGGGTCTTTCTGGGGTCTAAAATCTACACTTACACTTTCTATTTTTTTAATGAACTTTCATCAGGGTTGGCTTTGCTGCTCATTCCCTAAACACTTGTAACTAACTAGTCCTTAAATTTAAATCCAAAGGCCAGCTGACTGTACCGTAACATGGACATCAGGAGTAGACACCGACAGCTCACAGTGCCCCCTCAGGCCCTCTGCATGTAGACCAGTGTGCCCCCTCAGGCACATTGTGTGTCAAGTTGACAAGGGTAGGACTTGTGATGGCTAACACTGGCTGTCAACATGACTAAAGTCCAGCCTGCCTGACACTACTGTGAGGGGTTTTCTTGATCATATTATTTGAAGCAGGAAGACTCGCCCTACATCTGGGCCACACCATCTGGTGGTAGCATGGAGAGAAGATAGGGAAAAGGAACACTTTGGTTTTTGCCTGCTTGCCTTCATGCTCGTTGGCGAGTCCACCTACCCTATTGCTGTGGCGTTTCATCACCAATATTAGAGCCAGCAGCTTTCCAGCAATTCTCCAGGCCCTCAGTGCCAGGTCAGGACTGCTCTGAGCAATGACAGGACCTTGGCCTCTCCAGTGTGGGACAGCCATTGCTGGACTGCCCAGGTCACATCCTGTAAGTCACTGTGTAAACCCCTTTCCTGCATGCTGTTCTTCTATTAGCTGTTCCTCTAGAGAACCCTGGCCAGTACACTCACCAGCTCCTCCTAGGGATCCCCGCATGCTGTCCTCGGACTGTTCCTTCCTGCTGCAGGTCTTCATCCAGGAGACTGCCAGAGAGGAAGCTGGTGACTCTTGGCCATGAGTCTTCCTGTCCCTCTGTTGCGCTTGGACACTGGCCCTGTGACAATGGACCTCTGCTACACTTGGGCAGTGGCCACACCCGCAACAGGGCAATGCAGGATAGGACCATGCAGGAACCATCCAGCTTGGACTGGCCAGCCAGTCTCAGAGAGAACGACCCAGCATTGCCAGCGGAGGGCTACAGGCTTCCTAGGACCTGCATTTAAAATAAACAAACTGAAGAGTCCTTTGCTTTGGACCTAACAAGCCACAGGCAGCTGGCGCTGTCTCGCGTGGCACAAAGGAATCACTCAGACCCTCTGCTGCGCTTCAGAAGTGAACTCTTCACTTGCAGTGGGATAGGTTTTGCTTGGGTTTGCTCTGCAGTGCTTGGGTGCCACCTGGGCACACTGGGGCTGTGACCTGCAGGACGGAGCCTGTCATCGTCTCCTCTCCCCTCTGGGGCAGCCCCTTGAATTTGCCTCCTGAGAGTCTAGGCCAAGACCAGCTCATGGACGGTGAGTAGCGGGAGCGACTGCCCTGTCAGTGAACAACAGGTGTCGGTGGGCATGCCCCTGCCACGGGACATATTCATCCTTTATAATACAAGCTAGTTTGCTCTCTTCCTACATAGACAAAGCACGCTGATTGCATCGTCGATATAGTTAGCTTCTTTCAAATTGAGAGCAGGCTGACTTGAAAGCAACTGAATGTCTGTTGCTCTTAGCTGGGTAGATTCTATTCTGCATTTGAATATATAACAGCATTCTAGCAATTTCCAGGAAGTCCTATGAGTTTATACATGCATTTTAACTTTAAAAAATTTTCCTCACACTAATCAAAACTTACTGTATTCTTATAGGGTTGATTTGCTACTTAAAAAATAATAGTAATTGTGAGATTTTTTTTCCTCTTGTGCTTCCTCAAAGTCCTAAACTATTTATTTGACCAGCGTGTAGAAATACTTCCAAGAGCTACAGTTCTGAGTCTAATCTCACTGGTCCTGGGCTCTGTGTGGCTGGAAGATTCACATTTAATCCGTCCTTTATGTAAAACAAGTAGGAGCATCCACTCATTCCGGCAAGGAACTCTGATTTAAAGCAAACTCTGATGTCGTGCTTTAGAAAACAGCGCAGCAAACAAACGTCCAGGGGGCGGGAGGTGTGAGACCATGTGGTGGGCCCGCAGACTGAGCTGAAGCCAGCAAAGACACTCGGGGGATGTGGCTTCTCTGGCTTCCTCTGCAGAGAACAGTTTTGAGTTAAACAGCAGCTGAGATCTTAATCTTCCCATCAGACAAGAGCAAGCGATGTCTTTGCCCAGAACCAAAGAGACTAGAAAAGGCAACTTGTACTTCTTGTTTGTGAAAATTAACTTATTTTTAAAACTAAGTACATACCATATAACCAAAGTGCGCAAAGTCCATCTCACACCCCCAGTTCCCTTCTCGGGGCAACCAGGGCACCCATTTCTTGTGTATTCTCCCAGTTATACTGCTGTGGCTTGGAGGAGGTGGTCATTGGAAGAGTGACCTTGACGGGGACTCTGGAAGTCCAGCCACCCGTTCTCTTTCTTGGCCACCATATGGAGAGCCCCTTCCTCCTCCACACACTCCTCCATTGTACTGCTCTGTCACAGACATGGAAACGATGGAACCAAGTGACCACAGGTGAAAGCCCTGCACCTCTGGGACCGAATGGTCTTTCCTTTTCATAATCTCATTCACCTCAGGTACCTGCGTCAGGGAAGGGAATCTGGTTGAGCGTACGCTCATAAACTACAGGCAAATCAATGCACTCGCAGGTTTCCACACTATGTCTGTTTTAGCTTAGTTTTCACTGACTAATGTTTAGATCTAAAAATCTCTTCAGGGCTCCTCTGCATGGAAATTCCACATGTATTTCACCCTCACGTGGGCTGTAATGACTTAGTTATCCATGAGTTCCTCGGCAGCTTGGGAGGATTGGTTCCAGGGTTCCCACAGTTAGAGAATCTATGAATGCTTAAATCGTTTATGTAAAATAATATAAAATTTGAAAATACCCTGTGCACATTCTCCTGTGTGGCCAGTTGTAACTGCTACACAAACAGCTGTCACAATGTACTCTTTGGGGACTAACAGGAGGAGAGAGGCCCTTGGGTATTCAAGACAGACTCAGTGTTTCCTTCGCACATACTCCTACAGGGCTGGTTCAGTCTGTGGATGGGGGCCCGCCAATCCGGGGGCTGTCAATCCGGGGGTCACCAATCCAGGGGTCGCCAATCCGGGGGTCGCCAATCCAGGGGTCGCCAATCCAGGAGTCGCCAATCCGGGGCCCGCCAATCCGGGGGCCGCCAATCCGGGGCCCGCCAATCCGGGGGCCGCCAATCCAGGGGTCGCCAACCCGGGGGCCGATTCTGCAGTTCAGACCTGTGCTAGAGCGTCTTTGGGACCAGCTGCTCGGGACAGGTGGCAGGGTCAATAAGTGCATCTTGAGTGTCAATAGAGCCCGCCAAGAAGCCTTCTGTACTGATGGGCTTGATTAGCACTTGACAGGAGGGCCTTGTTACCCCGTCCACACACACACAGGGAGTTCTGAAGCGGCACAAGCTAATGAAAAAAGTTCCATTTTTATTTACACTTCCCTCATGGTGACATTTTCCTTTACACTGAAGGTCCTTCCTCTTTTTCCTGTGATCTGATTGCACATTTTCCTGCTGAGATTTTAGATTTTTTCTTCTTTTAGGACTGAAGGCTGATGAGACAATCGGCAGTATAAACGGTGGTTTCTATAGTTTGCCATTTGTACATTTTTAAGCTTTAATTTTTCAGTTATGTATTGGTGAATGCTGTGCATGAGCAGGTGCCCAAGGGGACCAGAAGAGAGCATAGGATTCCTGGAGTAGAGGGCCCTCTGACATGGGTGCTGGGAACTGAATTCAGATCCTCTGCGAAAGCAACACCCACTCTTACCCACTGAGCTGTCTCTTCGGTCTCCTAGATTTTGGTCTTCTGACATGCAAACACATTTAAACAATGTGAAGTGTGGTTAAACTTGATGACGTTATAGTCAAGAACTCGTCTTTTGAACTGCTGATTTCTGAGGATTGTGGCACGTATGTCGATAGGTTCTCACTTTGCACACAGAAAGCCTCCGAAAGCTGTTCTGAGCACTCGCTCCTCCACTCTTAGCCCAGGACACTGTCTCATCTGGCCTTTCTGTTTCCCAGTGATCAAATGGAAACCCCAGGATGCCTTCAACCAGACCCAGCCCAGCAGCTCCTTCTTACGTGACCCTGTGGAGGGGAGGAACAGCACCAATTCCACCAGGACCCTGAGGCTGTCAGACGCGGCCAGTGCCACCTGGTACATCCTCGCCATCATCGGCATCTATGGTGTGATCTTTGTCTTCCGGCTGGCCAGCAACATCCTCAGGAGAAACGAGAGGTCCCTGGAGGACATTTATTACTCAAACTTAACTTCCGAACTCAAAAGGAAAGGGTTTCAGAGCAAGGTGGCTAAGTGCTCCCTGATCATCCACAACACAGCTGCCCTTCAGCCTCAACAAGACGACCCAGAACCAAAGGGTGAGAATGGCAGGCTCCACACAGGAACCCAGGCGGTCCCTTGAAAGTCAGGGCCAATAGACGACTATTGGGAGGCCTTGGCTGTTTTGCAGGTGGAGGAGTTTGGGGCCTGCCTGGGATCTTAAAGAAGGAACTGAGCCCTGGATGAGGGCAGGGTGAGCATCTCTGGCCATGACACTTCTGAGTATGAAGAGCCATCAGCAGCTTATGGCTCAGATTTTCCTGGGATAAGAAGAAACAATAGAAGCCACAGGTCAGAGGGAGACTCAGGGTACTCGGGGATACTCCTGAGGGTAAAGGGATGGCTTCTTGTCATGGGTGAAGGCTGAACCTGGAGTCAAATTCTTGGGATTAATGCTCACCTTCTAGGGATCATATCCTTTTATTGAGTGGCAGTTGATCACCTGGGAGTTGGGATTGTCCCCAAAAGTGACTTCATTTTAAAGACTTACTCCCTTGAATTTAGGACCAACGTGTTCATAGCTGAAGCTAAGAGTTCTTCAGTTTCTTTGAAAGAGCTGGGTACATTGAACAAGCCAGCCACTTTGGACTCAGGAACCCCAGGTTCTGGTCTGGGCATGGTTAGCCCTGTTTTGCCATCTGAGAACCTATCAATGCGCTTCTGTGAAACTCAGCTTACAGTCACCTGAGGAGAACAGTGTCAGAGCTGCCCAGTGCAGCACGAAGATAAGCACTGGGGAGATCCTGCATGTGGCTGCGTTTGCAAATTCAGAGGACACACACAGAGGCGGGTGGTGGTGGTGACAATGGGCACAGCGAATGCGGCTGGATCAGGTGGCAGCAGCAATGACAATGACGGTGTTGATGGCTTTAGTACTTGGTGTTTTCAGAATTCAGATCCTTTTTGAATTAAATTTTAGTTAGCACTCAAATGTACTTATTATATTTCCATACACCATTATACTATGATCTTGCTGATGCTCCCTCAGTCCCTGCTCTTCTCTTGCCGGCCTCTTCCTTTTTCCAAAGAGCGTCCCTTTCTGCTTTCATGTCACACGTTGTCACCTCCTCTTGCTCCCCTGCCTTTAGATCTCTGCATCCTCCCTCATAGCTTCTTTCCACTTTCTTGTGTACAAACACACACATATGAATATATAATTCAGTCTGTCTCTACACAGATCTCTGTGTGTGAATGTGCATGTGTGTAAATATATCTGTGGTGTATTGTATCTACCTACAAACACACACACACACACACACACCACCGAGAGGTTCTTAGAGGAGCAGTGGGGAGGCAGGTAATCCTGGCCAGCAGTTAGGGGTTGCAAAGGTTCCCTCCTAGAGCATCCCAGGGCCCCGGCACCCACAGAGCCAGGAGCCAGAGCAGATCATATTTATAAACAACTGCCCTCTCTCGGTTCTGTGTAGTTCATGGACACCCCCATCAGCCAGACACTCCCAAACCTGGCAGGGATGACATCAGCGTGGGACACAGGGATTCTTGTCCAGGATATATGGACCCTGCCAGGAAGTATGTATGAGATGCCCGATAACAATTACAACAGAATTGAAAAGATTGATTGATCTATCATAGGACAGGCAGGAAAAGAGACGCATGCCATCCAGCCTCAACATTCATGCTGTAAGCAGACACTTCTGAAAACTCGACACCGTGGACGAGGTCAGCCACAGCCATTTGTCATGCCTGCCATGCCATGTGCTCACATGCCTGGAGCTCTCTGGAGAATATGAACACTGACTGCCACTGTCCCTTGTCAGGAGGGTGCTGTCCTGTCTGAGGAGTGGTAGTCCTCCTGGCTTGTGAAAGGCCATCGTCACCTTCTACACAAGTGGCCCCCAGTTTGTTCAGGTCAGGCATGGACCGGTCTCACCAGTACATAGGCAGCTGGGAGCTGCCTTATCTCCAAGCCAGGCGGGTTCTTCGTCCCAGAGCCCCTACTTACAAATACATGTCACACGGGTTCCCTGAAAAGCTTAGTAAAACCACACATAAAAGCAGGGGCCACCTCGATCCCACACTCTGGAGTGCTCTAGGGCCAGACAAGATTTCTGTCAAGGGTGAAGCTGACCTGCCCCCGGAGGGGTAGGACAAAGGCTGGCCCCTCTCATAATCCAAGTCTCTAGGGGTCCAAGAAAGAACCCTGAGGTTTATAAGGACTTGGAGGACACAGGCCATGTTGCTTGGTTCCACATGTGACCAAAACACTTGGGAAAGAATAATCTCAAGGAGAAAGGGTTAATTTGGAATCCCAGCTGGAGAGGGTCTGGCCAGAGTCACCTAGGTACTTGGACAGAACATCACGGTGGCAGGATGCTCCTACCCTGTGTGCCCTGTTGCTGGGGCCTGTGAGGGTGCATCTTCCCTTCATGGCAGGTAGGATGCAGTGAGAGAAGGGACTGGGGACCAGGCAAAACCTACAGAGGCACACCTCCTGGGACCCACTTCCTCCAAAGTTTATATACCATGTCTGAGAATGAACCATCATCTAGGGATAAAATTTACAAAACACAAGTCTGTGGAAGGGGGAACACCTCACACATAAACCACAACACAGACACACCTTGGACCCGGCAGTGGGCCATGATGGAGTACGTCATTCAGTCTAAACTCAGAGCAGGGATGCTCTTAGGGGGATACCGTTCACATGGGCCAAAGGGACACATGGGCTAAAGGGGTTCTGTGGGAAGGGTACAGGGGCCATTAAGTCTACGATGGCAGCCATTAACCCTTTAAGGTACAACGGAGGGAGGGTCTAGTTTGAAGGGTCTTGGGCAGTGCTGCTGCAGGGACACACACCAGCCTTGACCACCCGCTCACAGATGCTGCAAAGGAGGGTCAAGGAAGCCGAGACCCAAGAGAAGCTAAGCCATTTGTATGTCACACAGCCAGCAGAGGCTTCAGTACAGTGTCTATCAGAGTTCGAAGCCCCGTGACGTTTCTATTACATCTGCCTAGCTTGCCTTCAGTTACTATAATGAACGCCATGACCAGCACAACTCGGGGGAAGAAAGGCTCTTTTTCAGCTCACACTTCCAGATCAGTCCATCACTGAGACAAGTTGGGGCAGGAACTCAAGAGGGAACCGACGCAGAGACCATGGAAGAACACTGCCTACCAGCTTGCTACCTGGCCCTGCTCATTAGCCTTCCTACACAGGCCAGGCAGCTGGGAACGCCACGAGAAGACGGCCATGGGAGGGCTGCAGGCCCGAGGAAGGCATCCTCACACTAAGGTTGGCTGACAGGACATTCATGAGGGTTGTGTGTACACCTACAGTCTCACATGTGCCTACACACATAAAGACACATCCATGTCCACATCCATGTGTGCATGTGGAATCATCTCCACACACAGGCATGTACTCACATATGTTACTATACCCCCACATATATACATATACATATGTATATACACCTATATATCATACACATCACACACGCATCCTTACACACACGCATACTCCCATGCTCTGTCCTGACCAACGATCCTCGTTCCGGAAAGCACACTTTACACCAATGCTTCCTTTCAAGGATTTCCTTTTAAAATGTCAAGGAGTTTGCTCTTGGTTGAGAAGAGAAGGGAGGGCACTTAGCCTCTCTCTGTCTGCTTTGTAAACAGGGCGATGGTGTTTATTTCAATAACATGGGCACAGGGATTGATTACTAGATAACAGGTAAAGGGGAGAGAGCCGCTCCCAGGACTAACACATTGTTTCCCAGTCACTAGCAGCTGGGCCTGCACGGCTGTATGGTGATCTAACATGACAGAGCCACTTTCTCATTGGAAATATCACCCCAGGAGCACATCTGGGGAGACTGGAAGGGTCCAGCAGTCAGTTACACACACACACACACACACACACACACACACACACACACACACGAGGCAGGGCTGTCTGCTGAGCTTTGGTTCAGTTTGTTCTCAGGACCTCTTCCTTCTTGTCAAGTCAGACCCATAAGAGATAGGGACAATGCCACAAAGGAGCCACCAAGGGAGCCAGGCAAGGGCAGAGGTCCTCCAGTCTATGATCAGAAGAGGCTCTTGGTTAGGAACCTGTCAGGTTCTTGGGTCAACTGTCCCCTGAAGGTGTCTTGTAGGGGCTGTAGGTGTAGGGCGGGATGAGCTGGAGCTGGATCGGAGAGTCTCAGCCCAGCGGACTCCAGTGCCCAGGCAGTGGGCCACAAAGGCTTGGACCTGAGCAGTCCCCGGGGGTGACCTCAATGCCCTGCTGTGCTGCCCCTGGGAGCCCCAACAGTGCACATCTCAGTGTAATCTGATTAAATCAGTAAGTGTTGTGGCTTCCAAACAGCGGGGCTGGGGCTGTGCAGTGAGAAGCTAGCCACAGTATACATCTGTTTATAGTGGCAGCTGCCTGAGGCTTAGTGGGAGGTTGGATTCTTTTGTGTTTTGTATGACTAGTTTCTAAGTACTGTGACCTCTGAGTGACATTCAGCAAAGCTCCAGGATCCCAGGGGTCCTCTCAGGAGTCCTCCCTTGACTGGCTTACCTCAACCCCAAGTCCTACTTGCTCTAACATATCTCCAAAGGCAACTAAATTTGTGCATCTTATATTAAATTCTTATTTTCACTTTTTGTCAGATGCACCCACTGTGAAATGCTAACTTGCTTACTGAACTGGTAAGGAACAAGACATATGAATACCCAGTAGCAAAGACCACAGCCTTTATGAGGGCCGCTGTGTGTGGTTTGGCCTGGCCCCTCCTCTGCCATTCTTGTAGATGGGAATCTGCACACTTATCGTGGGGGTTGACAGCACTGTGTATTGAGGGCGGGAACTGTGGTGGGGGGACCTGCTCAAAACAAGGAGGAACGGAGGGAAGGAGGGAGAGAAAGAGGGGGGAGGAAGACGCATAGAGACAGAGGACCAGGACAGACAGCAGGCGCACAGACCAGAGTTTCTGTCCCCCTAGCACACATCTGACAGCTCCTGAAAGCTCCTCCTCCCCAGTGGCCCTAGAGGGTGGGGGCCAAGCCTAGTACACAGCCTTTGTAGAACGTTTCCTATCTGCCCTCTAGCTCTGGGAGACCCGAACCAGCAGG